TATATATATATATATATATATATATATATATTTCTTCCCAAACATATAGGAAACTATATTTATATGGATACCTCCTATAAAGAAAGATACAGGTTTCATAAAACTGCTAATGCTATAGAGAAACATTGATTTACATTGCGAATGTAACAGTTTTATCTAGTACTTAACACTGTGCATATGCTCTGATTGCTCCTCTTAAATTTTTAGCACTCACAAAAATGTTTTTATGATGTTTTGATGTGTCAGCTCATTTCCTTTACACAATACATTTCAGCATGGGACTCACTTGCAAGCTCTACACTTGTCTGAGCACTGTCAGTTGTGAACAGGCTCCCACACTGACCTTAGCAGTTCCTGGAACCCGAAGGCTAGCTGTCCGGAAGGCCAGATTGATGACAAAGTCACTAGTGTTGTATTTCCTTCCACTAGGATCCGATAATACAATCTCAGGGGGACCGCTGGTCTGCCACATGACTAGGAAAACCGTGTCGTTACCCACAGTTCTATCCACAGTCACAGAGTTCGTCAGTTGGTGCTGGGGTAGCACAGATTCACACACGCTTTCAAGCTGTTGAAGAGAATGTATGAGAAAGTTTCCAGTGAACACATCCCCTTTCCTTCTTTTACCTTGCTTTCATAATGAAAAAATGAATAGGCAAAAGTAGAAGACATTTAATCCTGACATGCCCTATACATATGCAGATCAAAGCAAAATATTGTACATTACACAACTAGTTATAAAAAATACCTTCTTACAGTTAATGTAAGCATACTGAAATATTGGTTTTGTTTGTATGTGATAAGGTCTCGAGTAGCTCAGGCTAGCCTTCAAATGCTGATCCTCTATCTCTAAATACAGGGATTATAGTTTCAGGTTACAGTGCCTGGCTCCACTGTTCATCTGTCTGATTGCTTTCGTTCGATGCTGGGGATTAAACCAAGAGCCTGGCCTGCTGGGCAGATGTTCCACCATTGATCTGTACACCTAGTCCACTCCATTATACTTCAAAACCGCTTATCTCTTCGCCTGTTATCTCTCATGAAAATAAGCATTGGCTTTACAGTGCCAATTGTGGTAATGAGCTCTTAGAAGATTTTGTTTGTTAATACATTTAAATGGTTTTAATATGTATAACTATATCCACATGCTTTTACAAGTTTTAGTAAGAAACTTAAAAAGAAGTTTTAAATTACTTGGTGGTTGCATTTTTGTTTTGTGAGGAAGCGTAATGATACTCTCCTCAGTGGCTTCACTCACATTCTCGTCAACAGTATGAAGTTCTCACCTGCACGTCATCTTTCAGCCTTTTGACATCAGCCATTTTTCGTAGAACAAGGTGATATCCCAAGGTGGTCTTATCTTTATTTTTCTGATGATTAATTGTTTTAAACATCTTTTTATACACCTGTTGGCTATTTGTACATTTCTTTTTTAAAAAAATGTCTGCTTGATCTGTTGGGTATTTGTATGTTTCCTTTTTAAAACTGTCTACTTAGATCTATTGCCCAATTCTTGTTTTTTGTTGTTATTTTGCCTGTCTGTTTGCCTTTTTTTGAAACATGGACTCACTGTATATCCCTGGCTGTCCTGGAACTTGCTCTATAGACCAGGTTAGCCTTGAACTCACAGAGATTCTCCTACCTCTGGAGTTCTGGGATTAAAAGAGGTCACCACCGCATTCAGTTTATTGCTCAATTTTGGGGTATTTTCACTCTTTGCTGTAGAGTAATTGGAGTCCCTCATATATTTTGGATATGTCTATTGTCAGAATATGGTTTTCAAATACTGCCTCCTTCCATGGGCTCTGGCTGCATTGGGCTGATTGTTTTCTCTGATAAGCATCTTTTTAGTTTGATGTGATTCCCATTAATTGATTTTAACCTTTATTTCCCATGCTTTCAGGATCTTATCCCCTGCCCCATCCCTCTCCCAAAAACCCTTGTTCATCCTAAAGTACAAAACTATTTTCAATGTTATCTTCTATGTCAGGTTCACAAGGAAGAATTTGATCTCTGTTCACTTGGGTTTTGAAATGGGTGAGTGATCCAGGCCTACTTTCATTCTTCTGCCTGGGAACATACAATCTTTTTAGCAACATTTACTGAAAAGTTTGTTCTTTATTCACTGCATATTTTTCAACTCTTTTTGTCAAAATTCAATTGGCAATCTGAGCACAGTGGTCCATGCTTCTAATTCCAGCATTGGGGAGGCTGAAGCAGGAAGATTACTGAGAGTTTAAGGCCAGCCTGGGGTAGTGGGCTAGCCTAAAGGATAGTTTTGTATGCAGAAGACTATTGGTGGGCAGAATTTTCTTTAGCACTCTGACTATATCACCAGATCTATAGAGATTCTGCCCAGATGACTACTGTCTGATAAACTGGGAAACCCTTATGTGATATTTATTTCTTTTTTTATCAATCTTCACTTTGTCTTTGACCTTTGAACACTTGATTACAATGACTCTTGGGGCATTTATTTGGCTTCTAGTGATAGGACTATTACTGTCTTTACTGTGCATACAAAATCTGCATGTTAAATATTTTCTGACAATAATTCACTGGGTTCATTGTTTATATCAAGCACATCTTGGCAGGTTTACTCACCATCTGTGAGGAAATTGCACATGAAATTCTGTTTGAAACATTATTCATTCATGTCTAAACTCTTTAAAGTATTTAGACAGAAAAAATTTAATGGTACCTTGTTTAGAGGAACATTTTGTGCCCCCAATCAAATATGTTGTGCTAAATAAAGAGGTAATATAAAACTAAGGATGGTGGCTATGTCTGTAGTTTGAAAATAGAACCAAGCAGATCAGGAGTTCAAAGCCAGCCTGGGCTACATGCAGTCTAATTCATGTGAACCCTGTCTCAAATCCACACACACACACACACACACACACACACACACACACACACGAGCACATCTACACACACATGTGCATGGCAGGGTAAAGATCTAGAAATTTCTATCTAGAACTTCATGAAATTATTAATATTCCTCATAAAAGTGAGAAGCTGTAAAGCAAGAGTGAAACACAGTGTGGTTTAGGGGAAATTAAAGTAACTGAAAAAAATGAAAATGTAGCTTCTTAGTTTTGTTTTGAACCCTGCTCCACCTCACCTACCCTACCCTGACCTACCCCACCCTACCCTTACCAACCCTACCCCACATTACACTACCCTACCATCCATAACCCACCCTACTCTACATCTAGATGAATTTTTAGTCATTAGGAAGTACTTTCAAACTCAAGAAGTTAGTCACCAAAACACCAAACAATCCAATTAAAAAGTGGGGTACAGAACTAAATAGACAATTCTCAAAGAGGTATCTAAAATGGAGGAAAGACACATAAGAAAGTCATCAGGGAAATGCAAATCAAAACAACTCTGAGATACCATCTTACTCCTGTTAGAATGGCTAAAATCAAAAAACACCAATGACAGTTTATGCTGGAGGGGTTGTGGAGAA